ATTTTCGGCGTTTAATTAAGCGAGATCGTGATACGTTAAGACTTAATTTTGCGGTTTCAACAGTCCACTTCCTTCCACCTGACGTGTATCCTGGGAGGTCCTAGGAATGCGACTTGATGTGAGATTAAGTTCGCTTGTTTGAAGAGAAAATAAAGCAATTTTATGTTCTCATGATCTATATATCCGCTTTAAATCACCGACCGTCCGACGATCTGATAGCTAGCACCTGCTCTACCATTGATGTCATTCAAAATACTCTACTCGCTCATATAGATATCATGTAGATATCATTTGGGAACATCTGCCAGTTGAGACGTCGCACCAGTCCCTTTTTTGCATTCTCTCCCTGGGTGTTTGCTTCAGCTATAATTTTGAGACGCATATGTATTTTATTCTTTTTTGTTCCCCAAATTTGTATCTAAATGAAGTGAATAGTTTTAAATGTTTTTGTGAACATAATTTTTTAGTAATGTTTGACAACTTCATACAGTTTTTTTTTTGTAAGACGTAACCTCTTCTGATGCAAATTAAAAATTTTTTAAATGTTTATTGTTATCTAAGATAACTATCATTATAAAATTGTGAGACAAATCGCAAAATGGTAAGAATCATGATGCATGAAAAGCCGATTATGCGATCTCGCGTTGTAAATCGCGTCGTTATGCCGTTTCCATTGCAATAACCCACGGCGTCAATCGAAGTCACACGCGATAACGCACAGTACTCGTCCTCAGACGAAGAGAGAGAGAGAGAGAGAGAAGTGGAAGAGAGAGAGAGAGAGAGAAGTGGGAAGGAGGAAGACAGGGAGGGTGGACTCGAGGTGCGAGCTTCGTCATTGTCATGAGGCTGACACTTCGGGGTATCGGACCTCGGTCTGGCCATTAATAATCTTAGCCCGAACGAAGAAACAAAGAGGAGGAGCACGGAGAGGAGTGCGGTAGAGAGTTGCGGACGGGAGGGATACGGGAGGGTATACGCAGCTCGCGCGCACCACGTCCGTTCACCACCACCAGCACGCCGTGGCGTATACGTGGTAGGTATGTTCGAATGTGTCCGATGCGTCCGATAGGGCGGGACACGGGCATAAACAATTGCGCGTCAGCCTCGCCCCTTCCCGATGCAATGTAATAAAACGAGAGGTCCCTTGCCGACCCTCCTCCGCCGCCCCGATCCCGAGAGGAGTTCTCCTCATCGGGGCCCCAGGGCCAAGAATATCGAAATGAACCGGCGTCCGCGCGATATTTCAGCGAGCCACGGGGGTCGTACGTACGTGGCCGGATACGTAAACGTAAGCCCCCCGACCTCCTATGACCGTGCTCCGAGAGATCTCCGGCGTTCGATTGAAAGCCGAGAGCTGGCAAATTTTTAATATCGTACGTGATCATTGGTGAGATTACGCCGGGGCGCACGCACATCTCCAAAAAGGAAAAACCCCCTTGCGCGGCCCATTCAAATGGTCCATAATTACCGTAGCGAAAATGAATCACGAAGCCTTGTAAATAACGTTGCGATTAATCAATGCATTAGATGTATCGGAAAAAACCAATATTTCTCGGGCTGCCGATTTTGCGTTCGTGACCTTTGTTTCCGAGAATATCGCCGGCATTATCTTTCGCGCAGCATGTTATCCTTCTTTAGCGTTTCGGGTCATTCAGTCTCTTTATCTCGAGCTCGGGTCTTGGGACCAAAGCAGTGGTAGCATTTTAATTGGAATAAGTTTTAACGCTCACGGAGCGTACATGAAAGGTGTTATACTACGAGTCAGTCTCACTGTGAGCGATTCTTATTTCGCTTTTAGCAACTCTACACTTTTGAACTAAATCGTATTGTTTTTGCATTGTTGATTACGTTGAATCGCAAACCTATAGTTTTCTAACTTATTTTCCTCTACAAAAATAACGAATTAAAGATGAAAGTAATATCAAAATAATCAATATAGCAATATAGATATGCACAAAAATCGAATAGTTTCAAAATTAACTTAATATAGTATAAACAAAAATCTAAAATAAGCATAAAAGAGAGCATGTAAGAAACGAACATTTTTAAGTGAATGCAGAGAGATAAGGAATTATTTTTATTTATATTAATTAAATAATTTATTTACACAAGAGATCCGAATTTTAGAAATAATACAGTTTACATTTTATTCAATATAATTAATTGGCTTAATAAATGTGCATGTATTATATTAAAATGTGATGCAGTATTTATTAATTAATATATTGATTGATGTTATAAAATATTTTTACTAGATTGTTTCGTAAACAACACAGTCCGTATAATACATAAAAATTGAGAACGCACTTGATCTGAAACATTTAATTAATTTGCAATCCTTTTCCTTTATATCGATTTGATGCTCCGAGAAAAGATTTCCAATTTCAGGGATTAAATCAAACAATTCTAACAGATTAAGGGAGCAGCCTCGTGGTAGCTTGTATATGAATGTATGTATGTGCGTGGAACGCGCTTCCTTTCTTAAAAGTAGATTAATACCGGGCGATGAAGCGACCGCGCGAGCAATGGAAAGGGTGTGGAAGAAAGGACGAGGCAAGGAAAGAGAGAGAGAGAGAGAGAGAGAGAGAGAGGAGAGGTGATGGCCGTTCTCTTGCGGCAGGGCGGACAATAGCAGCTCTGCGAAGTGTAGCGGACAAACAAATAGCCAATTAAAATTCCGGTTGCACGGCGAACATACTTGTATCAGCTGCAATACTACCATTGTGCACCGAAGGCATGCGCAAGCCGGTGTCTGGATCGGTTGACTGGGCCTGGGTACCAGAAGATCGGTTGCTTACGACCAACCTTCGAGGATTATCTTCGCGGTAAGCGGAGGCTCGTTTGCACCGTCCGCTCGACTAAATCTTACCTCACGAGACATTGTTATCGTCGAATCACGCCTTTATCGCGCGGTCGATTCGTGTCCTCGTGCGGGGGCCTCTTTCGCATCCGTACGTTTGGGTATCGCAAAATCACAATGGCGATTTGAGAATATCGGCGAGATACATACTGACGTCAGTCGGCAGACTTTAATTGTCATAGACGTAGGAAAATTTCTGCGACGGTGCTGTATCGGATTCGTATCGCGTTTCTCCACCTCGACGTTCGATAAAATTCGTATGATTAATTAAGAAGGAGAATTAATTATCTGGAAGCAGGGCGCTTCGTTCCCACTCGCGGCGCTTAACTATAAATGTCAGATTCGAAATTACTTCCTCACCTCCGATCCCACCGTCTTCCCGATCGGGCGCGGATGTTATTAGGAAATCGTTTAATTGGTAGATACCGATTTTAACTGGCATTATGAATGGTTACAAGTGTCACGGGGTCATTAAAAAGATAGAAAACATATTATCCTATTACAAACCTGCGGCAACCTAGCGAGATAACCGCTGCGAGAGAATCGGACGAGAGGTAGCGAGTAATTGTGGAGAGCGGGAATTGCTTTATTCGACTTGGAGTAGCACGAATTATAGCAATTGCGCTCCCTAAACTTCGAACATCGTGTAAAAAAAAGAAGTCGCGCACTCCCGCAGCCGATCGGTATTTAGTATTTACCGATATTCGTCGATTCTCCGCGTCCGGCGCGCGGTGAGAATGAACGATTACTAAATTACAACGCGCCCTTAGATACGATCGGCGGGCCATAATTGCAGGACTATTCATACATTATTGGCTCGTATATTATTTGACGCGATTCAATAACTTTGGACCGGGACGGTCGATGGTATCTCTCCGTCGTTAAGGCGCATTCGCAATATCGATCGGCCCTGATGAATGGCCGCGTTTAAGGTCGTCATTTTTCCCGGGCGATTATTAACGCTAAAATTGAATGTGTCCGTGAGCGCGGATCGGACCAGTCGTATGGACCACGCGCGAAAAACGAGACCTCTCTCGAGAGGCAGATCCATCTTCGAATGTGTGTTAAAACCTCGCGATGCCCAAACTACCGGGAACGCCTCGCTCGCTACTCCTAAATGCAGCGGGCATGATTTATCTGCGGGCACCAAAGTAAATGGAAAAGTTTTACTTTTTTAACTGGTCCCTTTTCAGATGGTTAAGATTGTCGCTCGAACGTTATATCGCAGACGCAAGGAGTTACTTTCAACGCGTACATTCGGAAGAATATATGGCATCACATGTTTCTTTTTTCCTTTTTCTTTTTGCTATGGTTTGCCCGGAGTCTTTAGGTCTCGGAGATAATATAACACGGTGACGTTAATAATCTCCCGTCCGCTCATTTGAACATATACGACGATTTTTTTTTCCTTCGAAACTTCGACGAGACTTCACCACGATACATTTGAATTTTTCCTCTTTACATAAATTTCCATCAGGGGATAATTACAAAATTATTAAACGCTGACGCAAATTAAAGATGAAAAGATAAATAAAATTCTTTGGTTATTTTCTTTAAGACAAGCGTAATGTATTAGACATATAAAATATACCGCGCAGATATTTTGTATTATTATTAGTTGTTAAGAATTTGTCTCTCCGTCGGCGGTAATATTTCACTTTAAAGAAAAATCTATTCTCGGGATTTTAATAGAAATCCCTCGTGCGTGAACGGTTGAGAAAGACGCATATGATTTAGCATGTGCCACAAGGTTAATTATTTCATTCGGAACAGTTATTAAAATCATATTCGTTCGCTATGATCAACTAATAGGTCCCGGCACAGCCGAGTATGTTTTACGCGCGTGCACGCACACGCAACTAAGTGCGTGGGTATGTGCCGCGAGTGTATGGCCGCGGGAGCGTGGAATTGTGGAACACCGAGGCGACCGAGAGGCACGAGGGGGAGTTACTCGCGTATCTACGACGACTACCTGCGGTTAATTTACAGCAAAGCGCGCGAATAAGTTCCGCCGTTATTCTTCCAGTCGGAGTCTCCTCTCGCATGCGGTTTACCTCTTCTTCGCGGACAGTCTTCTCTCTTCCTCATAACGGCGATATACCCGATTCACCTCAAAAATCGATGCCACGTTTCTGCGTAGGTCGATCCGGATCTGCATAAGCGTAAGCGGCGACTCGACGACCGCCGCGCCGTTCGTTTATAAGCCCCTTCCTGAGAAGCTGCGACCACCGCGACGAGCGTCCGGAGTTAATAACACAGGGAAAAGGAAGTCACGCGATTCAGGTAATGAGGATGATGAAACAACGCGGTTGATACACCTAAAGCGTTAATACGTCTCGGACGAGCGGGGTGCGAGTACACACATATATAGTTACTGAAGTACACAGACGGGTGGGATCGTGTTCTCATTAAGTGTACTGCTCGTGCAGCTGCACGGTGAGCTAACCAACAACGACTGGAGCATGGCTGACGAAGAGACTGACATGTCTAAAAGGGGCGATATCCTAGGGGACAGCAGTGCCGACGGCAAAGTGCCAGATGAAACCGAATGCGACGACGTAAGTCGGGGATAATGCTCTTTCGTGTCTTGTCAACTGAATGAATTCAAATCTAGAGAGAAAGATAGAAATAACGCTCGTGACATTAGAGATATTTCTATCGATATAAAATGTAGATTCCTAAATAGACATAACTACGATATGGGACAACGCATCTTTAATAGGTCGATAAAACCCCGATCATCACGTCAACCACCACGAAAAACGCCTTGATAACGACGCAGCTGGGACCGTGTGAGGCTTATCCGCACCCTGTCAAAGTTTCAATCGTGGGTGCAAGAAAAGTTGGAATGGCTTGCGCTATCGCGGTTCTGATGAGAGTCAGTGTATATAATATACATATAAAAGTAATTATATAGCTCACCAATTTTTAATTAATCATTTTCATTTTTACTTGATAATCTGTAGCGCATAGCAAGCGAGGTCTGTCTGATCGATCAGAACTTCGACGTAGCTTCTGCCGAAGCCGAGGACATTCAGCATGCTGGTATCTTTCTGGGTTGTCCGCTGGTGGTTGGCACATCAGGTACTTTTCATATTTAAGATACATTTTTAGATATTACATACCTACATAGCGATAATTAAAAAATTAAAATATAACAATTACACAATATACTTATTCAATTGTACTTCTCCTCGTTGTTTCCTGCCTGTACATTATTCTTACAAAGAAACGTATCTCAACATATTATATCTGTGTCAGATAAAGCCGGTGTTAAAGTTGTCACAACGGTTAACACTTCGGATGATCTCATCGTCGTCCTCTATTCACAATCACGGAATCAACGAGTCGTGAACCGCCGCGCCCACGGATGTAGGCCTTCCGCGCGTTAGATGCGAGGCAGCTCACGACAGGATGAATTCCAAAAATGTTAGATTGATACGTCCGAGCTGATGAGTCTGCCGTGCGTCACGCCGGTGTGTCACGATAATCGGCTCCGATCAACACCCATTTTAAATCGACGATCCGTTAGGTTGCCCGTCAAGGGTCCCCCGAATCCCTGTCAACGTGCAGCGATTCAGAAACAACGCTCTCGCATATAGGGTTTTGAGTTAGCGGCGAGTTTCGGGGGCCAGAGAATTCCCCCCTCAGACCTGTCCTTTAATCTCGACTCTCATCTACATCGCCGCGCCGGTGAACCGGGCGAACGTTTCCCCCGAGCTTTTCACGGACACTCTCGTAAATCTCGTCCACTCTTATTTATCTCGGCCGTGATCGACTCCACGACGCGGTTTTCTGTTTCTGTTTCCAGCGTGCGTACGGCGCGCGGTTACCCCGTCTCGACGAGCGGCCGGCTGTAAAAGCGCCGTACCCTTCGTGGGAATCCAGGAGGGACAGTAACGGAAAGTGTGTGTAGTACGATAAGGTCTGATCTCGATAGTTTCATCGAATTGCACCACAGTTTGATCTCAGGAATGATTTCTGTTCATTCGATTTTTCTCGGCGTTTCGTGTACAACGCGCATAGCGTTCTGTATTTACCTTTATATAAGGATAGCGGAATGATTCTTTCTGATCTTGTCTCGTGCGAGGTAGCAATTACTGGAACAAGTGGGACGACTTTTTTACGGGCTTACCGAGTTATCTGTAACAACATCTCTCTCTCCGTCGTAAATGTATCTTCCGTATAGTTGCGGTACCGCTCGGCGTGTTACTACAAGTATTTTGTGAAGGTGTTACCTCGGATCTGTATACCCTTTATTTTTCCGACCGCGCCGGATTGTCTTTCCCCGTCGTCGTTATCGGGCGCATCTCTTCCGATGGTGATTCTCTCTCTCTTTCTCTCTCGAAAGGGGAAAAAATTTCTTATCCGCTCTCGCGTCGTTTTGTATTCCACGCACTTCCGAGGAGCTGATGATTGCGCGGTTGAATAAGACGTTCTCCGGCAAGAGGTTCCCCGGAAAGGCGTATCTGATTCTTAACGAAGCTATTTCCCGTTACTTCTTTCGCGTGAATAGCCGAGTGTCTTCTCCAAAAATTTATACTTTAACTCTCTCAGGAAAATGTGTCTAAAACATTAAAATGCATCCGCGGTATCTAGAAATCACCATTCCACAATAATCTACGATCTACAATTGATTGCATTTTAGATATCTACAAGATAAAAGACTCAACAATAGTAGTGATCGCAGTTTGTGAAAAGAAAGCCGAGGAGGAGGTGAATGTTAAGCGCAACATCGAGGTGTTCAAGAAGATCGTCCCTACAATCGCAAAGTTGGCCTGCAAAGCGGTGTTACTAGTTGTAACTCAACCGATCGACGTGATGTCGTACATCACCTGGAAGTTGTCCAAGTTTCCCTCAAGCAGAGTGCTTGGCACGGGGACTCTGCTCGATAGCTGCAGGTTTCAGGATTTACTGAGTCGGAAGTTGGGACTGGCGCGCACGTCGATCAGCTGCATGAGTATCGGCGCGCAGGGCGACACATCTGGTACTTGTATTGATTGACGTCGTGACTAATTTCACATAGATTTACGATGGATCATTAAGAGCTCTTTTTATTGTAATAGTATTTAATGACAAGATTTTATTGAATAATTTTACTGAATTTACTATCTTTACACTAATTAATCTATTGGAGAGTTTACCACAAACGTTGTAAATATACAAACATGAATTTTACACATACAAATTTATGCTCGCATTCGATGTATCTTTTTAAATGATTGAATTATTTTATTACGTAAAATATAACAACAATATATATTTTTTATTAACCGTATAATACATGCATAGATAATGAAAAAATTGTTATACTTTTTATAATCTTTATGATGAATATTGCGTAAATATACAAATTTGCGTTGAAAAATATCACACATACTTTAGTTATATTGCAAACGATCTAACACAGTTAACGGCGTCTCTTTCCCTTCAACATCTGCTGTTTCACACAGTTCCCATATGGTCGAGCGTTCACGTGGCGGGTACGAAGATACGAGACATAAACCCACGAATGGGTGAGGCGGATGATCCCGAGAAGTGGCGTGACATTTCCGAAGCTGTAAATAAAACGTCAGTGGTTAAGATCGCGGGACATTCTCGAGAGAATTTAAGGAAGTAATAAAATCCTCACGTTGTGTTTACAGCGACGCGGAGCTTAATCGGAAGAAGGGCGAGAGAGGCCCGAGCTGCTGGGCCCTCGGCTTCTGCACCGCTGAGATCGTCGACGCCATCGTCAGGAATACTAAAGCCATATTGCCAGTGTCGACGTACATACATGTAAGAGATATAATCAAGTTAACATTCTGTAAAATTGTTGAATGAATTTAAACAGATTTTAATAGCTCATCGCTAATATTAATCTAAAATTAAAGAAATTAATTTAATTTTGAAAACAGATTCGAGTATTGTATAAAAAATCAAAATTATACTTTTTGATACGCATAGTAATTGAAATATAAATTACAAGATAATTAATTAGAAATCGATGAAAGCAGATTGGAATTTGCATATAATAATTGTAAGATAATAATTGTAAAGATAATGATAAAATTTTAATTTATTTTTCTGTTTTATTGACTTTATAATTATTTTGATTCTTTGCTGGACAAGCAATCCGTATTTTTGCGCGTTGAACAAAAGCGTTGCGAGACGCACTTTACTCGTATGTCGATTGGCGCGACAGGGGGAAACAAGATCGAGGAATTTCTGTTCGCAGAGTTGCGCCCACGGGACCGATAAAGACGTGTATATGTCGGTACCCTGTGTTCTCGGCCGAGAGGGTGTGTGCGCCACGGTGCGACAGAAGCTGAACGATCAAGAAAAGACGGCGGTACAACAGTGCGCCGACAGTATCCGTAGTGTGCTGCGTGAGTGCGGCATCCTTCGCGAGGCGAGCGACGTTGAAGAGTGACGATCGACGGGATCGAGGAAAAGAGGAAAGCGAGAAACGTAAAGGACTTGCGAACGGATGCGCGGCGCGAAAATAGCCAGAAGAGGATGGAGAGCGAGGGAGGAAAGGGATGGGCAGGAGCGACGTCTTAGAATGCATCTTCATCAATAAGGGCGATGCTGCACCTGGCAACCGGTTTCCGCGTGCGTACATACATTCGATCGCTGTAATAAACGATATATGAGTGAAACTCGACTTCCTGGAAAATTAAACCAGCCGCGCGTTCTCCTAAGATTGCCTGCGAACGGTACATGCAACTCGCACTACAGTGTTCCACGCGTGCGGAGCTTATTACCGTTTCTTTTTTGCTCGATCGAATTTTGATTTACGCAGCCGAACGATGTACGGCGGAAAGGTGAAAGGGCGGATGAAAATGCACTCTCCATTGCATGCGAGGCGAGTATACGGCTGAGAGCTACGGCTAAGGGAGATTGGATAATTTAGACTACACAATCTTTTTTTTACATTAGTTTTATATTAGTCTTGTTACGTAGTAAAATCGTTGTGTTTTATATATATATATATATATATATATATATATATATATATAAAATCAGAAATTGAATGATTGTTGGGGTGAAACAGGATTACATTTTTATAATAAGAAAAAATAGTAATCTGAATTAGTCTATAAGGATGGAATAAAAGAGTCGATTCCTAAGAATCCCTTTTAGATCCCTTCTCAAATGTCCTGTAAAACACAAATTGGTAGTATCTCTTCAAGAACGTAGCGCATCCCACCTGTGCTGGCTCCGCAGCAGCTGTCGATCAATTTTACGACCTTAATTCTATTCGCAGAAAAACAAAAACCATAGGAACGACGCGTCCAATTGGCGATTCGTCTCTACATCTGCCCCGGGCATTTACCTTTTTGTATAACGAGCATTCTTTCCGACTATAATTGATTCTGTACGGTACGATTGAATTTATCGATAGCATCTTTTCGTCCGTGATCGAACGTGTTAATCGGATTGTATATCTCGTGCTACAAGATAAGTTGAAGTTCACATCTCGTACATATAGTACATTATGAGCGTACGAGATACGTCGGACACGAAAGGCGAAGATAGTTCTCTCACGTTTGATCATACAGAACCAATACAACCACCTTATTGCATATCCCATTTTACGTAGCCATTCCAAATCGACTGTATATCTACTTGTTACGTTTCCGTCGTTAACTTCATTGGCCTCCTGTCAAAAGATGTTTTTTTCGACTGTCTGCTTTTCCAGACGTATCCTATCTTATGTAAATTTTAATGACGAAACGTCAAATTTCGCGATCTCAATTGGAGGTATTCACGATGTCATGCGATTTTTGGTTTGTCTAAATTATTTGGTGTTATATCGCGAAGTGAAAGAGCATCCGTGTATCGGATATGACCGAAACAAGAAGGAAATCACCTGAGGTCGCCGGCAACACGGTAACTGTTTTACTGGCCAAACAGGCAGAACATCTTGTGGATAGCCATCGTGTCAAGGTCGTCGTCGTCGGCAGTGCGCCCAAGGGTGTCGCGGTCGCTATAGCGATTCTATTCAAAGTTAGCGGATTTTTTTCTAGTCTTCTAACCTTTCGTGCTACTTCGGTTTTTAAATTAATTTTTTATGCATGTATACGATGTACCTTTTAATAATGATTGAATTATTTTATTAGCATACGTAAAATATAGCAACAAATATATTTTTAATTAACCATACAGATTCCCAGATAACAAAAAATGAAACCTACTTCTTATAACCTTTACGATAAAATTACCCAAGTATAAAAATTGATTTACAAATTAATTTACATTTAGCGCAGTAATTTTAAATACATACTTTTCAAATTTATTTTATTTATTTTTTACAATATAATATTTTAATATTAATAGTACATTTCGTAAATTATTGTTAACTTCGTAAAAATTCTGATGCATATAAGTCAACGTCAATGCTAATATACTTCATTGATGTACATTTATATACTCCGAGAAAGGTGTATCAACATTGATTAATGCACGCGTGCGTAATCGATCCGTGCCTCATTCCATTAGATGATACGATAATGTGCTCGATACGTCAATCTAAACATGTCCACAATGATATCGAGTGAATGAGACATAGCGCCGGTATCCACACGGCTCGAGCACGTATAATTCGTATTTGTTCGTCGAGGATCAAAGATATATAATGCTCCATGTTGGTGGATCTCGGGAGATACCCTCGAGTTGCACCCAACAAAGGACGGACGGAGCCAAGGAATGCCTTGACGTGTGTGGGTTCGTGCATGAGTACACCGTGCAGGTTTACGGGGACGAATCCTGAATGTAGGCTCGTTAGTGTGCACGTGTGTGCCGGCTCAAAAAGGCTATTATGCAAATGATCCACGGAAGACCAGAAGAGGGAATTCGGCTGTAGAGGAACGAGCAGGGCGGAACATGGAAGAGGAGGAGGGAGGGAGGTAGTAGGAAGAAGACTATAGAAGATGTAGAGAAGTGGGCCGATCCTTTCGCTCGTTATCGGATCGTAACGCGAGCATTTACACGTCGGCCCAATGCGCCCCCGCAGGACGGCTCTAACCGACTGATTTATGTTAGTAACGATGGAGAGAGACTGCAATTTATAACACCGTCCACCTGAAACGCTTGCGAAACGCATACAGATATTACTGTATAATAGTAGTTGATTCAAGATTTTACAAAGAGAACGCGCTTGAAAACTTTTCTAGAAATTTCGTGGGACAGTTGCGCGTAGACGCACTTATATATATTTTTTTTGTCCCAACAAGCCCTGAATTATGTAATAATGGGAAATGTGAAATTGTTTGTAACATTCTAAATGAAACCTTATATTACTATTGCATTGTTTAGGCATAATTTCGTATCTGTTGCATCAAGGAGGAAAATTAACTGTTAGACGGAAACACATTGTGGGCCGCGACGTTACAAGGTGCAACAGTGTTGTATCCATATGCCGAGTACAATCCGGTAGAGGGTAATAAATGTGGGCGACTAATTCTAGGTTTCGGTTTCCGCAAATTTACGAGGGCAAACAATGGTGTGTGCACGCGGTGGGACGCGGAGGGCGTAACTGACGGACGATAGACTTCTCGTTGAACGATCTTATGGTGTATATCGAGAGACTAAATAACATATATAGCGGGGTTTATCGTGTATATTATCGAGGAGGTCAAAATTGTACAGAGAATAACTAGGATATTAGGGAACCCGTTACCGCGTACGATAACAGCTTTTGAGGAAAATTGCCCGCGTTTTGTATCAAATTATAATTCCATGAATTTCAAAATTGCTTTGTTGGCTGCCTTGACAATGACAAACGACTTCCTTAGCCTTTACAAAAAATTAGAAATATGTACTTCTGGCTAATATTGATCACGTAATTCTCGGAGCTCGAAATTTTGGTGGCGCTTGTTCGACATGATCATGAAGATCTCCTGATTACCGGAACGTTCGGCGGTCACAGACCGCTGTGGAAAAAAAAAGATATAAAAAGAAGAATTTCAAGAAAAAGAGCAAGAAGCGAAAAATATGACCGAGTCGTGCTGCTGCACTTCGCGTCGCAGCTTGGCAGATCGCATCAACGAGATCATCGTGAGGTACGAAAATAAAATCGCTGCAGCCTACCGTCCACCTTACGAACCTACCATACTCGAATTCTTCACAACTATACGCACCGCGCATCTTTCTCTTCTTGTTTTCTCCGTTTCTTGTCTTCTTGCGACACCACCGTGTTGGATGGACCGTATCAAGCAAATTATATCAGACAAAATCTTCGGCGAAAAATACATTGTTTGTGCATCGGGCTATGTGTCAGTATTTACTATGTAATAGTCTGTATCTTAAAACGGAGAGATTATCAATAAGTGAGATATTGTGGAAATGTTTAAGCAATTTAATAAAAATATTAGGAAGATTAAAAATTATTTAAAAAAGAAAGAAAAAAAAGAAAGCCAGTCCTCAAGCTTGTATCACAAGTTATCACGAGTTTGTATGAAGATTTCAAGAGCCATTAAAAAATGGTTATTGAATGCATATTACATTTTATTATTGATAAGATACACTTCTAATAATAATATTTTTTGTTCACAATAACTGTTTTAATATCTATGCAATTATTTAAATACGGATCAGGATGGAAAACAAAAATCTGATTAGAAATATATTTATTCTTTTATCTTTTTATATTAATTATAAATTTTGTTATATACAATTTAATATACGATCCTATAATCGAGTATTATTATTTCTTTTGCATGAAATATCTCTTGATGATTTTCAATACATTGTTGAAGAAGAGTGTTAAAAATATTTTTATCTACGCTGAAAAGGTATCTGTCTGGGTTAAAAAGAGCTAATGAATTTTATAATGTAAATAAAAAACGATACAGAAAAGAAAAAGAAGAAGGAATATAAGATATTAACAAATTCACCAAATATTTATAATTAAAAATAGAATAAAGAAAATTATGCATAACAATTTACAAAAAAAAAGTAAAACTTACTTCAAGTATTAATTAGAAAATATATCCATACAAATGTTAGTTAGAGTTATGCTTAATATTTTGATATATATATTAATTTTCATTTACTTTAAAACATGATAAGCACAAGTGAGAATTACTTTCTACAATTATTGCAAGACAATGAATGAAAGTGACGGACTTATTCAGAAGTTTTACCAGCTTATGATACTCCATACCTTTCGGAAGTCACGCTTGATGAAGTATGATAATTAAATGGTGTACAATAACATCGGAAGCACAGGAGAGCGCAACGTGATATATTAAGAAGTCATTTTGCAGTTAGCCCGGCGTTTGTCTTAACGTGGAGTGTGAAAGTACCATCTGTTTGAAAAATATACGTCCGTCTGTTCGGGCATCTTAAAGCGTTATATAACGCAAAGTGTTAATACGGGCCGTTCGTCGCCATTACCACAGAAACGTGTTTGTATACGATATACGATGGCTCTAGGAAAATAATGCCCATTAACTTTTACTGAGGTGATTTACATGATCGTCCGAATATCTCATTATACCACAAATTAGCCTGCACAAATTAGAACCGCTCGAAGCTTAATGATCCGTCGTTCAAAAACGAATATAGATTACCATAGCGGTCCCCCTTATACCGCTCGTTTGCCGCGCCATTTGCCACACTTCACGGACTTGTGTAACGTTACATTTACGATATCCCCGGGTATCCCCCGATATACGTGTAACCTAAATGAAACTAAAAAAAATTCATGGGGAAACAAATAGACAACATTTTCGAGGAAACCGTGATTGCGGGAGAAAAATGAAGCACGTGCGGACAGGGGGTCGCAGAGGCATTCTTCATGGTCGTTTGACATTTCATGAGGAACGCGGTCGCTACGGTCAAAAATCTTGTAGCGGCTGCCGGAGGTAGGACGGAAGGTAGTCCCCGGGAAGAGGTAGACCGACGAGAAGAAGCCGTACCGGTCCCATAATTATTCATGAATGAGTTATCGCTCTGCGTAAGACGTCGTTTGTGTCACTAGGTACCGGCACGGCGGCGGCGGCAACAACAACAACGACGACGACCACGATGAAGTGAAACCGACATAGCGGATTCTCCCGAAAATAACGCGCTTCTCGACGTTGTTCCTTGATCGGATCTTAACGATTCTTCGCATTAGGGGACTTCGCAAATGGCGCGATTGATCGCGCTCGCTCGCAAGTATCTTAATGCGAGTCCTAGGGGGTGGGGGGGGGGAGGGAGGAAAGGGCCTGATTCTCCCGTTGCGTAACGATTCGAAGCGCGTAATAACGCCTGCCTGCCGGGCAACGATCAGTTGCCGTTAATTACTCTCTAGCTTCTCTGCCTACTACCCTGTATTCTATACCGTTCATCCCCCTGTGATTTTTCGCAGCGCCTCGCCTCCGAGCTCGTCCTCATAGACGCGAACGAGGATCTCGCTAAAGCGGAAGCAGAAGACATCAGCCATGCGGCGGCGTACCTCGGCAATCCTAGGATTGTCGGTACCAAAGGTGAAGGCCCGATGGGAGGAGGCCGCAGAAAAATAGCGAGACCGTCATTACACTGTCCGCGAGTAACGAGCAATTATCTTAAAACAACCGCGCTTTAATGTTCGGATAAGTAAATCGCGCGGTTGCGATTAGCGATAAGGTCGCTAGAGGTGACGTTCGTGCGCATTATTACCTGCATTGAGACATCTCGAGATAAATTAAGTTAATAAAATTAAGATAAATTGCACGATGATTTCACTTGCCGCACGATAAATGACGTATGAGCGACACGAATGCCTAGATAGAAATTAATTAGCAATTGATAATAAATGACAATAAAGCTAATAGAAGCTCGAGAATATTTTAATTTCTTTCGCGATTTCTGAAAGTAGAGGAAATAGGTTTATCTTTTTTTTTTTAGAATAGGTCAATCTCTTTTTTATAATTTGTCTTACAAAAATATCCCTCGCGTAAGAGCATGTAGAAACAAATAAAATTCTATGATAAACGATAAATCATCCAGCGTGTATTGCGCTCCGATAGATTATGCTTGTGCCAGAGACGCAGCGGTATGCGTGATCACAGTTGGAAGCCAGTCTCGTGAAGATCAGCAGCCGGCCGATTATCTAGAGCATAATCTGAAAATTTTCAAGGACGTCATTCCGAACGTCTCCAAGTACGCGCCGAACAGCGTTCTTCTCATTCTTTCGAAGCCAGGTACACATTTTATTACTATATTTAACGTGTTTGCCGTGCCAGAAATTGAACATATATGTCATGTCCGGCTTTTCTAACAGACATTTAACAAATGATAACGTGTCAATTGCTTCTTTATCAAGATATTTTAAACGCATTACAATTCATGATCGATCAATTTTGATCAAGTATAATATACAAGTACACAGTACTTGAATTATTATTTCAATCTTTTTATGCAGTTGACATTCTGTCATACGTTGCTATGAAGCTGTCAGGGTTTCCACCAAACCGTGTTATAGGACTAGGAACATTTCTAGACAGCTGCAGATTTCAGTACTTTATCGCTCAAAAACTCGGAATTTCAGCAAGCGCGATTCAAGCGTTAATCATTGGCGAGAGCGGACCGGCGTCTGGTAATTAGCGTTAAAATATTATAAATTATAATTTTTGTACTTTTCTATTCGATCTAATCGAGTTTTAACATTTCCGTTTTCTCACTTATATTCCCTATTTTAATATATATTAGTGCCAGTCTGGTCCACCGTTGCGGTAATGGGTATGCCTTTAAAAGATATAAACAAAGAGATCGGCACGAAAACGGATCCAGAATCCTGGGGGGATTTGCATACGAAAGTCGTCAATACCGATAACGAATTAATCATCAAGAAAGGCTACCACAGTTGGGCAGTCGGAATCTGCGCGGGCGAAATTGTCGATGCTATCGTACGCAATACTTGCGCCTGTTTTACTGTCTCTACGTTCGTGAAGGTTTATCGATAAGTTTTTATTAGAACTATTAAACTTCTGTTTAGTGATATTGCCCACGTCCCTTGAGATCTATATTTTTTTTTGTTTTTACCTCGTGTAACTACTATATTAATTTATTATTACGTAATAAAAGATATAGATATAAGATTGTGAAATATTTGCTTATATTGACAATGAGTGATATATAAGTACATATGTGTAAATTTTTTGTATGCAAATATATATAAACTAAACATGTATTTCCGTGAACAATATTTGCCTTTCTCCCTGGTCAAAAATGTCAAATATATTTTAGGGTTGCCGACACGGACTGGAGAAGGATATCTTTATGTCATTACCGTGTGTAGTAGGGAGAAACGGCGTACAGTCTTTTATTCGTTTGTTGTATACATCTAAAGAGCAGGAATTGATGACGATATCTTGCCAAAGAATTTATGAGGCGCAAAAATTGATCCTCGACAAGATTGAATAAATAAGAAATGGAATTAAAGTATTTGTCACACGTTTTTATAATTGCATTATTCAGTTGTAATCGAAAATATTAAATACTCTCAACAATTAATGTGAGGATAAATCATATTTTAGTTTTATGCTTAACAAAAATATAAAAATTTATATATCTATTTATTTTACTAACTACTGTGTCGCATAAATAAAAAGAAGTCATGGCTTTTATTGTGAATAATTCTGATTTACATCAGTTAAGGAGTTATATTGAAGCACCGTGTATACATAATGATTCCGCGATAAAAGACCTTATCTTCCATCGTTCTACTATCCAGCCGAGTCAGAGAGTTGAAAAAAAAGAAATCTGCGTTTGTTTTATAAGACGATTTGGTTTTACTGCGCGATTGGATGAGCAAGGAGTACTATAAATTGTAGGGCGTACTCCGAGGATTTCGGTCCCAATTTGCAAAGATTAATGCAGACTACGCGTAATTAATTGCTCCGTGTACGGACCAGTTAACCGCCCCGCTAAAGGCGATTGGGATGATGAAACGATCGCTATTATAAATATAAAGAGAGGCGGTTTCGCGCGGCTCTAGTGGTCAATGATACCCACCAATTTGTTACAAAATTCACGTATGCTGATATCACGCTTTTTGTCTCTGCCATCCTCTACATTAGTTAGGACGGTCGTTTACTATCCAATGTTACTGCTCGAATATCAATAACGAAGTGTTCTCAATATATGAGATCTATATAGATCCGTTCTTATATATTATAATTGCATTTCTGATAATCTTTATTTTTTCTCACATTTATTGATTTGTTTTCAGTTTTTAAATTTTTTAATAATACTTTTGTGCTAAATTAAATCCAAAAATTTATTTAATATATCTGTCACGTCATTTATATATAAACACTCAATTTCAAGAAAAGTTTAGTCAATTAATCAATGAAAAAGTCTCAAGAACCTAAATATATATTAAAAATATATTTTACAATTTATTTTTTTTTTGTAAAATCACTGAACAGTAAGACTTTTTTCTGACAAAATTTTTTTCTGGTATCATCTTACTTGAATAATGGAGAGCTCTCGAAATACATATGGATGACATTATTACAGTATATGTTAAAAAAATAACATTTTTTTTCTTGTAAATTATCTTCTTGTAAATCAGTCATTCAATCAATAAAAAGTCTCATGAATCTAAATACATTTTTTTAATAATTTATTTTTCATCATAACATATCACTCAGAACTTCAACAGAACAATGAGACTTCTTTCTCATCAAATTTTGGCGTCATCATATTTGAATAATGGAGAGCTCTCGACAACGAGAAATATATGAATGACATGACAGTCAGTATATATTAAAAAAAAGTTTTTCTTGTAAATTGCTGACAATTTTTTTGTAAAGTATTTCTTTACCTATAGTCCTTATTTAATTCTTCAAGTATTTAAATTTAGTTCAGATATTACATTTAATGAGATATTTTTTATTGTATCTGTATATAAAAATTTGCATGTATGAGATTTTTTATTATTTAGGCTAAATTTAAGTATAATAAATTTTAATGAGAGATATATAAAACGAGACAATAAAATATTTATCTTAACAGTTTTCTTCAGTTTTATTATTTTGCAAAATATTGCATATATATGTTATATGTCGTAATGTTGATAATATCCTTAAATTAAAGATTATAACTTTTTATAGCCTTGTAAAAATTGGTCAATTATATACCATTTTTATGACTGGCCTTGAGCACGGTTGGTAATAAAAATATTGATGAATTGTGTTTAGCATTTACGTAATCGTCTAGGCATGATTATAAATAGCTGATCCATAAGGAGTACCTAGTAGTGTGTGCACTGATCTTCATGGAATCGTTGAACGTTTAGTTAAGGATATCTACAAATTTACTCCTGAAGACAACGCATTAATTTTGTTCCTGATCTGTCTAAAATTTCTGTGTTCCAAAAATGAAAAATTTTATGACATTTATGACTCTATTATTAATTGTTGCCGTATTTTCGCCAACAATTTGTTATGAAATAAAAAAAAATATTACGACCAAGCCTCATAAGTATGTACATATGGATCTTCCTGCTAAAATCACACATCTACCGGAAAATTTGTTCAAATGGTATAAAAGATAAAGGATGAAAAGTACCCGCCGAAATAATTGTAAGTAAAAGTAATCATACTTAAATTAAAATTGATTTTTAATTATTTTCTTCTTAAAATGAAATTTTTTAGGAAGGATACAATGGCTCATTATATAATGATTAACGTAATTTTATCTTATTATATTAATAGAATGTGTAAAGGTATTATAGGATATATCGGACATTAATATATAGTAAAAAATTTAAATTTAATTTTGTTGTAACTATCAAAATTTTCTGGCAACTACGTAATTATTTGTTTCAATATAAGCTAACAATAAGATTATATTTATTTGACAAATTTTTTATATTATTTTTATTATATTGTTATTCTACATAAATACTCTATATTATTATTTTATTATCTCTACACTATACTATTATTTCTAAGAAAAATATAAGAAATACAATAAAATCTTAGTTTAAATTACAATACAATTTGTACACTTTAAATTTTTTAAATATTGCAGGTTAAAAACATGATCAATTTGAAGCTGTTTTACTTTGGTATTTCTCTCTCTGTCTCAATGTAATTATGAAAACTGGTTTATCTTTATTAAAATGTTAAATAAATAACATGAATATTATAAAAATAATGTAAATAAAAAATATCAATGCATATACATCGCATGTTTTTTTATGAAACTGACCATTTATTGAGTGATCTAATAAAGCAACTTAATTATATATATACTCAACACGTTGTAGAATAATCTGATGCATCTTGCTAATACACTAATATCGGATTAATATGAGTAATTCTTACTTGAAGTTTAATGAAAATAAATTGCAATTTCTGTCTCTTATTGTGTGTGATGTATTTAATTTCTTAATAAATTAATCATGTAATATTAGACATTATAACTCGCGTCTAATTATATTCATTGTTTTTAGTGGGATA